TGTAGTGAAGGAACTGGACCTGGTGGCTTGAACTCATGCTGGGTGCATGTGCGTGTGTGCCCAAGATCTCAAGAGAATGGAGGAGACAGAATTGTGGTGTCGCCAGCTCCTCCACCCCACCCCAGGGTCTCTGTCTCTCTGGTGAGCACACATACCTTATAGTAAAAATCAAAAACAAAACAAAACTGAGGCCCTTAACCATGAATTACATCTTTCAAATTATTTTGTAGGAGCCATAACTATAAAAAATGTGTCAAATTACCATATAAAACTTTGTGTTTTTAGTCAAGAAAACTTACATGGATTTACTTAATGTAATAAAATGTCACTGAAGATAATTCCATAAACTGTGGTTCAGGAATTGATCTTTTGTGTAAGGGTAGGTTAAGTCGGTCTTTAATTTTTTCAACAACTCTTGGGTTTTATAATTAGAGAGGTTCAGCTAATTATTATCTTTATCACTGCTATTATGTGGATAGCTTTGTAGCATATATACTAGCAAGACTTACTTTTTTGACCAGGTTTCTAATAACATCACTTTTCTGTTTGAAACAGATCAAAGCCATCGGCCAGACAGAATTAAATGCAAGTAACCCAGAAGAAGTGTTACAGCTGGCAGCACAGAGAAGGAAAAAAAAATTTCTACAAGCAATGGCAAAACTTTACTTTTAAGCAGTTAGTTAAAATTTTTAACTTTTATTTTTTAAACAATGGGTAAAAATAAACAGTATTAAAAGATTACATTTATATAATACATATGTACACATTTAATGGGTTTTATTAAGACAAAAATACTGAAACAAGCATTAGTTTACAAACAGACTATACAAGCAACTTCATACCATCACGATAGCTGAAATTTATAATTTCTTCAAAGGGTGAAGAGATTCACATGTCTGGTAACAAACTAGTCATCAAGTATAATTTGTTTTCTAATTTAATCTACATTTTAAGGCTGAAATTTATTTTACAGGTAAAGCTAATTTAAAATATTAGAAGTAGCTAGTATATGTACAGCAAGTTCTTATGTCAAGTTTTGTTTTCTTTTTTTTAAATAAATAGATGTGTAGGAATCAGTATACATTTAATACTCTTCTGCCTTAAGAAAATATAAGTTTAGGTCAAGTGTTAAGGTTTATCACTTTGACTCCGTCCTTTTCTTGTAAGAATTTAAAAGGACCTAAACAATTTTTTCAAACATAAATAAAACCCTAATTATGCTAAATTAAAAAAAAAAAAACCTTAGGGATTTCTTAGATTAATAAAGTGACTTTCTCATATAAATAGTTTGAAAGGGTACTTAAGTTCTTCACCCGAATTGTGATATACAAAAGGTTTATTATAAAGCAACCTGTCAGAACCCCAAATAGGAGCCACAACATTTATCTTGTTTATAATCTCTTTGGTACTCCCTCCTTTAGAGCACAGCTTAAACACCACGTTCATCTAAGCTTTATTCGTTAAAAAATATGTTATGGCAAGGCAAATAAACTAGTTAAGAACATTAAATTTCACCATTTGTAAGAATTCAAGTTTTATAATAGCTTGCTACAGCAGCTGTAGATAAATTAGTCACCTTATTACAAAACTAAACCTTTGTAAACAAGTTTAAATTTTATTTTCAATGAAGAACCAAATTGCACTAGTCAAGAGTATAGGAATTTTGAGAATCCAAAAACTAGATTCAAAGTACTGTATTATTTATTGTACCCTTTAAGGTAACATTTAATGTAGTCCAAAATACCAATGATAAAATTCTTAGTTTATCAAGATAAATGTAGTAACACTGGATCAAAAAAACATTGCTATGGCATAAGTCATGGCTGGCTTCTATCCAGTAATCTTGGGGATATAATGAAGTCATTTTGTAAACAAGTCTTGCTGTTGCTTTAACAGCTAACATTAGGAATTAAATAAATTTCTCCTTTAGCGCCAATTTTAAGTGGTTTTTAAATCAAAGAATGGCAGTGAAACTCCTGAATTGGCTAGGACAATCACAGCATAGTTGTATGAAATTCTACTTCCTACTTGGTCAAGTCCAACCTCTTTGCCTAGTTAATAACTTTAGTGTTTTCCTGGTGGTTTTTCCGTGCTCTTCGGTGGTGTCATAATGCCTCCATTGCACACTGGTGACATCTGTCCCCCTTTTCTGAAGGTGTTTACGTAATTTACTTCATCCTACAGATGTAAGGAAGTCATGTAGTGATTAACAGCTAAGATAAAGCAATGATACAGTAAAACAAAAGTTCAACCAGACTTCTGGGCACTTAAGTCAGAGACTAAACAGGCCTAATATAATGATCTCTCTCTGTCTTTGCAACTGAATAATTCTGAAGGCTCAAAGTCTGAGCTGCTGTAACTGTCTACATTTTTAACTTTCATGTAGACTACTGACATTGATTTTGAGAAACAAATTTGGCTTTGACTTCTAATTCTTTTAAGCTTATTTACACTTTGAAGTAAGTGTGCTTATTAGAACTTTAGTTATCCACTTATATAGCTGCCTGACACAGGCTACTTTCCACCATGCTCGGTCCCTAGCAGTTTCAGTGACTAACTAGATAGCAAGGTCAAAGAACAAATAAACAAACAAAAAAACATACCAGCATAGCCAAATAATTTGTATGTGTTTGAATATTATGTCTGTCTTCCATGAGAATCTTCTTAAACGTCTTTAGCTTCACTGGAGTAGTATTTTTTACTACACTGACAAAAGGCACCATCCAGTCTACACATTCTGAAATATTGTCCCATTCCAAACCTAGATAGAAGAAAGTTAGAAAAATGTTAAGGTTGTAAATCATAAATTTATCTTAATCTCAAACTGTGTTTATAAATAACATGATTATCTTGAAGGAGAAATGTACTTAAGAACTTCTCAACCAGTACCCCTGCATAGGAAATTGAAATAATCCAATCCCAAAGAACTCTTTTTTTTTTTTGGAGAGGTTTTTGTTATACGGCGCGTGCGCTCGCCAGACAGACAGAGAGACAGAAAGCGAGAACTCACCCCCCAGAGGGGATGGCCACGCCGCAATCCCTTCTCCATTCTCCTCTCGGGATCTTGGGCACGCACGCACACGTGCCCGGCATGAGTTTTAAGCCACCGGGTTTGGGATGCAAACCGCGGTCGACTACGTGGGAGCCCAGTGATATAGCCATTACGCTAACTGCTGGTCCCTAATCCCAAAGAACTCTTAAAGCAGAACCACGGTCATGTTGACTGACTTCAAATGGATTTAAATTCCATCTGGCCTTATTTTTTGTTTGTGACTGTATATTGAGGATTAGAAAGTACTCCTAACAGAAAGGAGGATAATCACTAAACTGATTTTTTTTTCCTGAAGTTTTAAATTCATGCTTAACAGGATATGAAAATCACAGATTATAATCTCATTAAAAATTGTGAGCAGGTAAGATGACAAAAATAGTCTTACCTGAGGCTTTCTTAACCACTTCAATGGAGGTAAAATGGCACAAGGCAGCAGCAGCCAATATTCTGTATTGGAACTCTAATGAATCAATGGCTAGAATACAGAGATCTAAAAGCTAACAGTAGGGGGAAAAAAAAAAGAATAAGAGATTAAGGAGAAGGATAAGTACTACATTTCCTTACTAAACATCAGTGAGCTAACATTTTAGGGGACTTGTTTTGTGGATTATACACCTGGAATTGTTGAAACTCTAGAGACCCAGAGAGACCACCAGTCGGAAAGAAGTTAAGTCTTAGGACTACATGTCAGGGAGTATGGAGAAAGGGCATCTTATCTAGATTGGGGAAGACTGTGAAGGCTTCTGATGCCTTTAATGTCTAAAAGACTCGGTAGCCAGGAAGATTGGGAGATGCAGAGGTGTAGGAACACTATTTGGATCTTGAAAGGAACATGAAATAATCAAGGAGTCTTTATTTATTAGAAAAAGAGGGTGGGTTTGGCAGCTCTCTAGAGAGAGGCATAGTCTAAATTAGACCGTAAAGGGTCTTAAGTCAAAGTTTTATTGTATGGGCTGATTATTGAAACTACTGAAAGGTTTTAAGTCAGGAAAGTTAAATTTTAGGAAAGATAACAGACTGCAGTGAAGTAGAAAGACTTCTTAGAAGGAAACATTCTTTATAAGCAGTGACATTAGTTAAAAGGCAGTAATCCAGGCAATGAAAGAGTTGAACAAGTAGCAGTGGACTAGTCTATAAATAAAAGCTAGATTTTTGAGGTTTGAGGTGAACCCTGTCAGTGGGATAAAACTTGAATTATGTTTGTCCTCACTGGTCCAGAAGGTAGAAGAAACAGAATAGTAGGAAATGAGGGGACTTTAAAAGGTTTGTGGCAAAATGGAATTAGCCTTATTTTGGTGCAGCAAAATTTTGCATGTTATGTATCTTCCATAAACTTTTTAAATGACCTTCCCCGCATATACCTCTAGAAACCATTTCCACATTAACAGCCCATCAAGGGTTTACCTCCTCTATCAAAAGGATGTAACTGCCTATGACAGTCTGGGATGCTGGGAATTGAGTGCAAAAAAAAAAAAGTTTTATGACATGAACCAATTCAAATATATTTATTGGTTATCTAATGTTAGGATTCATAATGTGTTTTCTAGATGTAAAACACACAGTTTAGCCTGGGTGACCTTATACTCATCTCCAAATGCCACAATTCTGACTTTATGTTAGATTTTCACATCCTACATAAAATAAGGATGTAGATTTTCTTCACTGTTGTATACAGCAGTGAGAACTGTAAGATAACAGTTTTGAGAACAAGCAAGAATGGGATCTTCCTACACAAATTACTTTGTATGGGTATGAAAATTTAATTCAACCTTTAGTTAAAAAATATTCTACATCAGGCTAGCCAGTGGTGTGATGGTTAAGGTAATTGGATCCCATGTGGCTGACTACACAGTAAGAGTCCTAGACCTGGAGTTTGAAAAACACACTGGAGGAACTAGCAGGTTGCACTGTGGTTAAGGCACTGGACACTCCCACATGGCCAACCACAGTTCAAATCTTGGACCCGGTGGCTTGCTTTCTCACTTTCCCTCTCTGATTAAATGAAAAGAATGACTAAAAAAAATTAAAAAATTAAAAAATAAAACTTTCAAAAAAAAGAAAGAAAAACACACTCTGTGTGTGTGTGTGTATGCCCAAAATCCCAAGAGGAGAAGGGACAGTGGTGTGGCCACCTCCTGTGGGGGAGTGATTTCTCACTTTTCCTTTCTCTGTCTCTCAAGCTCATATGCCCTATAACGAAAACTTAAAAACTTCTACAGAAAATATTTTTAAATTCTAATATGTAATTTAAATGGGTACCCTGTGTATCCAAATATAAAGAGTATTAGAAAATCATATGGAATAATTCTGTACCATTTTAAGCCTAAAAGACAACTGGCTGAAAAATACTTTTCCTCCATTTTATATCAGAAAAGAGATATTTAACTCTGAACTCCTAAAGAATGAAAGTATATAGGTTGAGTTTCCTCCTTATCTGAAATGGTTGGGACCAGAAGTGTTTTGGATTTTTTCAGATGTTGAACCATTTGTGTTCACAAATGAACACAAAATTCATTTATGTTTCTTGTATATCTTATACATACAGTCTGAAGGTAATTTTATATTGTAGCATTTGTGATGTGTCACATCAAGTTAGGTGTGGATTTTGCACTTGAGTGTTCATATCAAAATGAAAAATTTGGAGCATTTTGGATTATGAATGCTCAACTTGTACTCAAAAGTACTCAAGAAGTTGGGCTAACAGGTACACGGTGGTTAAAGCACTGAACTCCCTCCCACATGACTGACAGTAGTTCAAGTCCTAGACTTGGCGGCTTGCTTTCTCACTTAACCACTCAGTCTGTCTCTGTCTCTCTCTGGTCAAATTTTAAAATAACAAATAAAATTAAGTAAGTCTTTAAAATTTTTTTAAGTATTCAAGCCAGTTTAAGAACTATTTTCTAGAATTATTAAGCAAGTAAGTGTTAGGGCAGAATTTTATACATCAAGTTTTGTTCTAGGTTAATTAAGCAGTAAATTTAATTTAGTATGCTGTTATTTTGTTGTTATAGGTTTAAAACGATATACCCACTAAACAAATCTGTAATTGACAATAACATTAGTATATGTATATTCAATTAAACATCAATACCTGAGCTATTTGAATGAATGTTTCCTGAGAATACTGAGGTAGAAGAACTTTAGGAGCATCTTTAAGAGAATCAACTTGGAGAAAGAGATTTAGCCAGGAGATGATTGTTACAGGACAAAGTTCCCATTTTAAAGCCTGTTAATGAAATTTAAAAATATATGTTAATGAATGTAGGCACACATAGCACATTTTACAGTAGAGTTTAGAGGTTAAGTAAATTTCCTTCTTGGCCATAACCATTGTCAATAGATCCTAATCCTAAAACCTCAGTTGTGATTATTTACATTGTAGTGTTTAAGATTCAGTCATAACTCTGTTCATTAAATTGCAACTAGAAATAAAGACATAATTATTACCTTTAATATAATGAGCTCCATCCTTAAGATATCCTCTTCACTGCAAGCACCATCAGTGACATAAGCAAATTCTTGCAATTTAGGAGCATAGATTTCCTTTAAATTGTAATATTTTTTATTAAGCACAATTGAGAGTAAAATAATTATATATAAACAATATATAATCTTCAATTTTAAGAATAGCTTCTAAAGTGATAAATCTCAGAATCTACCATAGCCAAAAAAACCTGATATTTTGAGATATTTTCCATTTCTAGGTATCTAAATTAGCTATATATATTATCAAGACTTATTTTCATGTAATTGACATTAAAGTTTAATTTGAATAACTAGTGCATCTTAACCAGTCATTTTAGTAGAACAAAAAAGTCAGTGGACTGCCCAATATATTGGTCATACCAAAATGAGGGACTCAATAAAAGTCCAGAAACTAAAAACATTTCCTTTACCCTACTACAAAATATGGCTTATCAAAAAATACTTTATGCAGTTTGGTTGAAGACAAGTCTGTTTTAGCAGTCCAGAAAACAACTAGAATAATCAGAAGAGATGTCGGCCACATAGAACAGCTAAAATCGAGATTTCAATCTGGGAAGACGTATGAAACACAGTATGATTTCAGATTAGGATAGACTGAATTCACACGTAAATTGCAAAATTTAAGACTATCCCTTAAAAGTGAAAAGTCACATTTAAAAGAAAAACACACTTAAGGAAATTAATGTATGATCAGTCTCTCTCAGTACGAGCTGCAAAAACTTTAGATGTATTTTTCACTGACACGTACAATGTATTGTTTAACAGAAGTAAGGTTGGGGCTGGCAAGTAGCACAGTGGTTAATGGCACTGGACGCCCACATAGCCAACCTTGGTTCAAGTCCCAGACCTGGCAGCTTGCTTTCTTACCCCCCCATCCTGTCTTTGCTCTTTCTGGTCATAATTTAAAATACTAATAATTGGGACCAGCAAATGGCATAATGGTTACATTGCTGGACTCCCACATAATTGACAGCAGTTTGAGTCAGTGGCTTCAAACTCATGCTGGGTGCATATATGTGCCTGCCCAAAATCCCGAGAGGAGAATGGAGAAAGGATTGCAGTGTAGCCATACCCCTTGGGGGGGACGGGGTGATTTCTCACATTCTGTCTCTCCAGCGAGCACATGTGCCCTATAACAATCTCTCTCTAAAAAAAAAACAGTTAACTAAATTATTTTAAAAACAAAAGTAAGGTTATGTGGAGGAAGACCTCAGGAGAGCAACTGCCTTGTATCATTGCACCATCATCAGATACAAAAATAATAGGCTAAATGGAAATTCTGACTTAATATTTGTTTTATTTGAGTGGCTGTTTAGTTTTCAAAGACCGTTCTATTGCATCCAAGTGCTGTAGCATCAGGGCCAGCAGGTGGCATGGTGGTTAAAGGTGCTGGATTCCCAGCCAAGTCCCAGACCTGGTGGCTTGCTTTCTCACTTTCCCTTTCTCTCTGCCTCTCTGGCTAAATTAAAAAAATAATAATAACAAATGGAAATAAATAATTCTTAAACAAATAAAAAATAGTATTAGCATGTTATGTTTGGCATAGTGAGCCATAGAACATTTCACCTAAATACTAATCCTAGAATGTTCTAAAAGAGAGACTTACAATAAGCTCAGACACTACATAGGAAACTATTGGGTCATCAAGAAAGTCATGATGCATTTTTGCATAGCAAAACATAGAAAAATACATCATGACTTTTCCAACAACCTGATATGATTATTTATCCTTCCATCCTCATCATAATATTCAGAAAAATGTATGAGAAATAAAACCACTTACTTTTCCTAAGGAGTTAATATAAAAAATGCTAGTATTCTCTGGTATTAATGTATTGATTAAAAAAACAAAAGTTTAGGACAAATATGGATAAATATTTAGAACTTACCTCAAGTTTGGATGCAATAAATAAAGAGGTAATTCCAATGAGTTGAAGCATATTTTTATTTATATCCTTTTGTGTCAACATAAATCTATCAAAAAAGTCTTGTGCAAGATAAAATGTTTCCCTATGAAGTGTATATACTTCACATACCTACAAAAGAGTCCAAGCATTTAGGTATTATCCTCTGAATTTCTCCAAATAAAAAAATCATCTCTTAGCATAATAGACTACAATACTTTTAAGTCAAATTTTTCTTCCTAGGATACCAAGCTAGGAGAGGAAAAAAAAAAAGACATATTCTAAGGATAAACAATTCTATTACCATCTCCATTTACTTACTAGCTTTATAGTTTTTATACACATTACTTCTCAAAATTTATTGCACTAATGACAGATGACTGAATGAATAATGTTGGTGACAGGCAAAGTCTTCATCATATCCCTTGCTTGTGACTTTAATGATAATTGCCTGGATGTTTCACTATTTTCATTCATTAACAATGAAAAGTATCTATGACTTTCACATGTATAACAGGGAAAGCTTTCAATTCTCAGATTAACTCTATTGATACCATTCTCCAAATTTTGGAGATGAAGATACAAGTTTCTAAGAGTATGTTAAATCTACTCCTACTTCCCTACATTTTTTCTTTTTTTAAGAATTGTTTTGCCGGGAACCAGCAGTTAGCGTAATGGCTATGTCGCTGGACTCCCACGTAGTCGACCGTGGTTCACGTCCTGGACCAGGTGACTTAAAACTCATGCCAGGCGCATGTGCGTGCGTGCCCAAGATCCCGAGAGGAAAATGGAGAAGGGATTGCGGTGTGACCATCCCCCCTGGGGGGTGATTTCTCACTTTCTGTCTCTATGTCTCTCTCTGTCTGGTGAGCACACGCCCTATAGCAAAAACCTCTCCAAAAAGAATTGTTTTGCCATAGGGTACTTGCGCTCGCACAAGATCACCCCCGTGGTAACAGCCATGCTGCAGTCCCTTCTCTTCCATTCTCCTCTTGAGATTTTGGGTGCACACATGTCTAGCATGTGCTTCAGGCCACTGAGTCAGAGCCATGAACCACTCCCAAAAAGAGGGAGATGGAGAAGGGATTGTGGCATGACTATCCCCGATAGGTGGTGCTTTACTACTCTCCCCAACCCCTCTGGTGTGTACACATGCCCTCTAGCAAAATGAAAAAAAAAGTAATCATGATTTTTAATCATGAATTATCAATTCCTAACATCATGTAGATCTACATCTAGTGCTACACTGTAAGATCTTTTTAGACATGTGTTTCATTTCTACAAGAATATAAGCTTCGTACCACTATTTAATTTTATTTATTTATTTATTTATCACTAATAATAAATGCCTTTTTTTTTTCCCCCTGGCTCTTTGCATAGCAGAATTCAAAACCTAATTAACTACATTCTGTTCATCTTGAGGACCCTTGGTACCTAGAACAGTTCCTAATACGTAGTAATACTCACAGATACGAGGAATTCTGAATTAGGTTTGGGTTGTATGCAGCGTCTGTGTGCTTACAATTTTACTCTTGCAGTCATTTTAAAATTTGGATACAATCAACTACAGTTAAGTACCCCTCAAAAGATGGCGTTTTAGCAACTAGATAATACACTGTGTGGGTACATAGAAAGTACATGTGTATCTGAATATTTTCCCGTCATTCAGTGGTATTAAAGGGAAGTTTCTGTTGCTGTAACATACCTCCAAGAGCCAATCTAGAAGTATTGACCTCATTTGTGGCTCCAATTCAGAATGCAATACTTCAAAATACTTCTCATGAATATACCTGCTCTCTTTTTTTAACATGTTTAGCCAAACTTCATTTGAACATCCCCAGCTATTGAAAGGGAAAAAAGATAAGTTATGTGATCTATGTAATATACAGGGTTTTTGTCTCACGCAGTAAATTCAATTTTCAGACATAGAATCCAACTTTCAATTAGAACTTGGAAGGAGAAGCTTCTAAAGTAAATTAGGAAAAAAATTTCTACCTTTATTTTTAGAAACCATTCCTTTTGTAAAAGAGAGACCTGACATAGAGTAAGAACCTGGACTATACTGATCTAAATTGGTAGATTTAAAGAGTGCTTTCTGATCCCATTTATTTATACTTTTAAAAGGTTGCTGTTTAAGGTAACCGTGTTTTCTCAAGAACAACCCTGAAAAGTTAAATATTTAAAGCATATGCTCACGGTAGAGGCAAGTCTCAATTTCCTGGAAATAGGTCAATAGTAGAATCATCTATAGTAGAGGTAAGATAGTATGGGGGAAGTAGGCTTGGTATGTTTTTAAGTGTCTGAATCCATAAATTTGCTTACTAAAGCCACCAAAATTAAAACACTACATGTTTTATATAAGCTGTACCTGTTAGTCTTATGGAGTATAAAAAAAGAATAGACGTTATAAAACTTCAAGGAATAAGAGTTGACACATAAATTGAAAATGCTATACATATAAAAATGCTTCCATGTTAACAATTTAGGTAAGTTACTTAAATACTATTTAAAAAGTACAGGTTGAATACCCCTAGTCCAAAAATCCAAAATGCTCCAAAATCTGAAATTATGAGCATCAACCATACACAAGTGAAAACTCTACATCTGATCTCATGTGGTAAGCAGCAGTCAAAACACTGCAGTTTTGTATATCTATGGCAGTGCAAGTGAGAAGGTACTTGTGAAGTGGCTGAGGCTACATGGGAGGCCAGTTCAGTTCCCAGCCCAACCAGGAGGCTTCGTGTAGTGGCATATGGTCCGAGCTGACTGGAAGCCTAGGGCAGGACTGCAGTCAAGACCCTAACCAAAATACCTAGTTTCCTTCTCCTTCTATCTCCTTAAAAAAACAAAAACCAAAAACAGGGACCAGCAGTTGGCATAATGGCTATGTCACTGGACTCCCATGTAGTCGACCGCGGTTTGAGTCCTGGATCCAGTGGCTTAAACTCACGCTGGAAACCCCTAAAAAAAAAAAAAAAAAAAAAAAAAAAACCACCATAAAATTACTTTAAGGCTAGGTGTATCTAAAGTATAATGTATATGAGACTTAAATGAATTTTGTGTTTAGAGTTGGGTCCCATCCCTACGACAGATCTCCTAATGTATTGCGTCATCTGGAAAAGTCATGTGTCTTTCTATGCAAAGATGCATCATAACTTTTCTGATGACCCAATATATGTAAATATCTCAAAATTTGAAACACTTCTCATCCCATTTGGTTAAGCAATAATCTGTAATTCAGTTCTGCTGTCTTAAAAGTTCTCAGTAAGCAAATGAAAACAATTTTATAGAATCAATGTCTTAAACATCTTATGTCATTTGCAAACAGCAGTATTCTCAGATAAAATGATATATGCTTAAATGTTAGTAAAACAATTATCATAAGTTTTTCTATTTTATAATGAAGGTAGAAGATAACTCAAAATACTTCCATATAGAAGTCAGTACAATTTTAATCTTTGAAATAACATTACCCAAATTTTTCTTACCTTAAATCAGGTAAAGGTGAAGGGTTAATAAAAAGATTTTTAAATCTGTAATTAGTAAATCTGGAGAAGTCACTTGTTCCTATTTCTTTGTGGGGTGTTTCAATGATAATGCAAGGACTAATTCCCCCAGATAATACAGGTGGCCAACAATTCTGTCATTAAAAAAAAAAAAGAATATCTGTTTGTGCAATAGGAAGTCTTAGCTTTCATAAGGCTGGATTATGAAAATAAAAGTTAGTATTTCTAAATAACCTGTAGTTTTAGCTATCACAGCTGACAATCTAATTTGATGTTCCTATTTTATAAATGGGCCAGATAGTTCTTGATCAATCTTCAGAATATGTTTTAGACAAATAAATTAACTCATAATTTATTTTGACAAGACAGATACTGGAGGATAGTAATAAATGATGCATTATCAGTCTGAAATACTAATCATTTTCAAGATCATAAAATTGTAGTTCTGTGTATAGGAACCAGCAGTTAGCATAATGGCTATGTCGCTGGACTCCCACGTAGTCAACCGCGGTTCGCGTCCCGGACCCAGTGGCTTAAAACTCACGCCAGGCACCGTGTGCGTGCGTGCCCAAGATCCTGAGAGGAGAATGGAGGAGAAGGGATTGCGGCGTGACAATCCCCCCTGGGGGGGTGATTTTTCGCTTTCTGTCTCTATGTCTCTGTCTGTCTGGCGAGCGCACGCGCCCTGTAGCGAAAACCTCTCCAAAAAAAAAAATTGTAGTTCTGTGTCTAACAATAAATAGTAGCAGTACATTTTAATTTTTTTTAAGTTAGGACTGCTCTAATATTTTAGAATACTTGAAGACAAAAACCTAAAAAATGGAATGAAATCCAACTCTGCAGCACAGTGGTAGCACAATGCTCTGCAATGCTGGAAGCCATACATAAAATCAGGTTTGGTTCTTTCCTGCTTTACTTGCATGTGCCGCTCACCACACTTGTGCCCATGATCTCATGGCTGGCCAGAAAAGGCCTAGAACAGGTGGAGGGGAGGAG